TCGTTACTAGAAAGTTTATTTGTATAGAGTTTATTTATATGTAAATGTTTATTGTGTAATGATTTTAAATGTACGAGTATCTATTTCAAATATCAACAATTTTAATGTTGTGAATGTGAACACAAATTCCACAATTTGTATTATATCATACGTTTGCAAGTTATTTATTTGAAGCGTAAGCATTTTCATTCTTTCTAAACAAGGATGTTTATACGACCTCGTTCATTTTCATTAAGCTGTTTGGGTAACAGGGTTTAGGGCTAAGCATAGTATACGTGCACCTTTTTAAAGCTTTAGAAGCTTTTACATTAATACACATTTACTAGTAATATAATAAACTTAATTAAATCTTCTGAAATCCTTGTCTTTTGTTGATTTTGAATGAATCTATATATACGTATATAAAAATGAATCCCTATTTCCCCCTGGTCACGGCATCATGCGTGACGGCTGGACCGATTTCGCTAATTCTTTTTTGTTGTGTTTTTTATTGTCAGGAGAAGGTTTCTATGAAAGAAAAAATGTGAGCCGTCACGGGACGCCTGGCAGATGTGAAACATCGACATTATTTTGTAAAAGTAATATGCAGAAAAGGACAGATTGTGATAGGAACTAAATATGTCATAATAATAAAGCAAATATTACGATGTTTTTTCCAGATAACGATGACTATTTATAGAATAAACATTTATTTTCAATACAAAAATTAACGAATTTATTTCAAACTTAATTCGTTTAATCAGTGACTTCGAAATACACTCACCGTACACAGTACTGCATATAGACCATCATATAGCTTGGCAACGCGTCGCCACGGCATGCGTCGCCACGCCAGAAATCGGTTTTACGTGCGGCTATAGATGTTTCACATCAAAAATTATGTAAATTTAACGGAAAATGAGAAAGTTTAAGAATACTTAACCACCATACAATTCAAACTTTTTTGATGTAACCTTATGGCGTTTGACATAACATTGACAGAATGCGTGCTGCAAATATCGTCAAAAACGATGTAAGGCTTTATCGATTTGAATGATTTTTTTTGTGTGCATTTAGGTGACGACTTGGATGGTTTAGATTCACAAATCAGCCCAGCAGATAGCGCTGCAGTCGGTACTATCATACTTTGTTAAATATACTCCTCGCTTGTAATAGCATGCAGGACAACGGGACGTCTAGTCGGGTCCGCTAGTTATACAATAAATATAGAAACAATTCGTAAAGTCGAATTGTTAACGTAATAGGGTAGTCAATTTTAGTTTACGGTTAATAAGAACAGATTATAGTTATATAATATTATTATAGTTGCAATGTTACAAGATGATGTTGATATCATTGCTATATTTATAGCTTTATAAAGATGAAGATCAAGCTCCTGCTGTGCCCGGTTACCAACAGCAGCAGCGGTCTCCTAGAAAGGAGTGGGGTGGGGGTTAGTTTCCATGTTTTCTTTTTCGTGGAGAAATGCGTTACGCATACCCTCCCGCGGCACGGTTGCCTGATGGTGAAGGGTTATGTGGGACTCTCGGTGCCACCAGCAATCGTAAGAGGCAGGTCACGGTAACAGGGTAGCCTTGCCCGCATCCAGCCACGGTTGTCTCCAGGGTTAATAGGTTGAAATGTACGGCTGCAATGGGTAAATATTGATACTTTTCTTGAGGCACTATCACAGTTCTTTTTCTTTCGGCTCAGTTTCTTTTTTTCTTGTGGCAGCTATGTTTTGTTGGAGATTTTAATATTTATCTTTTGGATCAAAATAACTGTGGTACCTTAAATTTTTTTGGCTAACTTTCATTATTCACAATATGTTGAAGAAGGAGTGCCTCGCAAGGATGTTTGATGTGAACTGGCTTCAAATTCTTGATTCATACCACTTGAACATCGAATGTAGATTCCGGATCAGTTGTTTTTATATTAAGTTCTGAATAATTTTTATAATTGTCCGTATATTTAGCAAGCCTGCTATCACCTGTGCTTTCCTAGTTCACGTTATTGTCTAAATATTTTTGTTGTGGTTTCTCGAACATTTAGTTATAACAGCATCACTTCTGGTATGTCGAAAGTACAACAGATTTTTTGTGGTCTTCAGGACGGGCTACACCGTGCATAGCATGATTGTATATAAACGAATGATAGCCAAGGCTGTCGAAGCGTGTCAGCGAATCGCTCGTGCAATATTCTGCTGCTGACTCGGTCGTCGAGGTGCGCGGATTAAATGTGGCGTATTAAGCACAAGTCATAGTACGTGTGAAACTTCGTCTTGCAACCCAGTAGTCATTATTGAGTTGGCCTGAGTTTTGAACCCAACATTGCAGTGAAACTTGTGAGTGTAAAATTTTTACGGATCGTCACGAAGATGTGCAGCGTTTTTGTCGAAGAAAAGGGAGAGAGCGATTGAGACCGATTCAGAGAGAGTGAGAAGGGCGAATTATATTATAGAAAATTCTATTTTTAAAATTAAAATTTCGTAAAGAGAATTTATGAAATATTAGTATTTTATAGTCTTGTGGTCACATGCCCGATTAGCTACAGCGAGCGTACCTACTATGTGAGGCCAAATTAACACTGCGCGTTGCTATATGTAAAATAGTAAAATGATTAATGTATTAATTTGTGTACGTGTATGTATTTCAATTTTTTTTTTCATAACATGACAGCTTTTTAAATACGCTTAGAAACATACTCATAAGGTAATGACGGGTAGTCCCGACCATTTTTCATTTCTATTGTAAGTATAAATCAGTCTATTTTTTATTTCAAATTTCCCAGGTACCAAACCTTTTATTTAACTTTACTTACTTCTCTTTTCTACTCTTCAAGCTTAACGATCGTTGCGCTTAATTTTACAATAAGGGTAAATTTTAATGCATACTATACTGCTCAAAACAATTAGCGGAACAAGATTTTTCTCCTTTCTATTGCTTAAACTAAAATTAGATTTAAATTAACTTTTACCTTGTTAATTTGTTAATTACTACAATTAATAAAAAAATTCAATTTGTATGTTTTTTATTAAAATGTGCATTGTAGACGAAAAAGTAATTGGTGATAAAAAAGGTCCATCAAATAAATATTCTTATATCGTTTGAATATTCGTCTTTAGTGACTTTCAGTAACGTGTGTGGCCTCCATGAGCCCTAATCACGGCTTGACAACGACGCGGCATGCTTCGTATGATCCTCCGAATATCTTCTTGTGGAATTCGCTCCCATTCTTCAATCAACGCTTCAGTGAGCTGCTGCAGTGTTTGAGGTGCAATCGGACGCTTCCGGATGCGCCTGTCAAGCAAGTCCCAAATGTGTTCAATTGGATTTAGGTCAGGGCTCATGGAAGGCCACTCCTTTACACGGATTTCCTGCTGTCGTAAGTAATCTGACGTGATGGCTGCAGTATGCGGCCTGGCATTATCTTGCATTAAAAGAAAATCTGGGCCCATACCATATGCTGCGGGCCAAACATGATCTTCGAGCACATTTTCAATGTAAGTTTGAGCCCACAAGCGCCCGGGAACAACGACGAGATCTGTGCGCTCGTCCAAACTAACTCCGCCCCAAACCATCACAGAGCCACATCCAAATTTGTCATATTCCTGGACTGCTGCTGCACTGTATCGCTCGCCTGGGCGTCTGTAAACACGGAGACGACCATCGCAACGTGTTAGACGGAATCGTGATTCGTCAGTAAAAAGCACTGGCCTCCAATGTCGAAGTTGCCAATTAGCGTGATTTTGTGCGAACTGTTGGCCAGCTTGTCTATGTTGAATTGTTAGACGCACAGCCCGAACTGGTCGGCGTGATCTCAAATTGGCTTCCAACAACCTATTTCTTACCGTCTGGTCGGAAATTTCAACACCAGTAGCCGTCCTTAGTGTATTTTGTAGATCTCTTGCAGTTGTGGTGCGGTTACGTAAAGCACAGTTGACGATGTAGCGATCTTGCAAACGTGTAGTTTTTCTCTTTCGACCTTGACCACGCCTTCGTGAGTATTCTCCCGTCTCACGGTATCGCTTCCAAAGTCTGTAGATAACAGAAGGGGCTACTCCTAGATCATTTCCTACATAACGCATAGTTCGACCCTCTTCAAGCAAAGCGATAGCTCGGGAGACATGCAATTCAGTCAGATCTGGCATTATGACCTAAACTCACTCGCTTCAATGAATAACAATACTCAAAAGGCTCACTTCAATTTCTATTAATACTCAAAAGATTGAAAAAAAACTACTTAAAATGTGTTTTCTGTGATTAGAAAGTAATGAAAATTCAAAGACGTCACTTTGTTTTTCGTCTACAATGCACATTTAAATTTTTTTTTTATAAAAAAAATACAAGATTGAATTTTTTTATTAATTTTAGTAATTAACAAGATAAAAAATAGCGTACAAGTTAATTTAAATCTAATTTTAGTTTAAGCAATAGAAAGGAGAAAAATCTTGTTCCGCTAATTGTTTTGAGCAGTATATAATATATAAAGTTTACAAATTTCAAAAGACTCACAAAACTTATCGTCTTAATTAAAACTTAGTTGGTTTACTTTGTCTAAGTAAATGTTTAGTTTATAAAATTGTTTTATAAGTAACACCTACCTATGTGTTACTTTTAGTACTGAGTACTCGTTACAGTTGACATCATAATCATCAATGGCCCCTTGTGGGCTTTAGCATCCTCAAGTACACTTCGCCATCGCAATCTATCCAGTGCCTCCCGCGTCCAACTTCGAACCCCTAGGGTCCTTGACAACTCGATCCAACCAACGCAGCCTCGGTCTACCGGGTTTTCTCTTGCCACCGGGTTTTGAGTTCAGTAAGGACCTTGGTGTTCTGTCGTCCGCCTTTCGGTGTGTGTCTTAACCATTTGAGCCTGTTGCACATTATGAATTGGACGATGTTGGCGTCGTCAAGGATGTTATAAAGTCACTGTAGCGAATACGCCAAATACCATCGTGGCAGACAGGACCAACGAATCGTTCGCTCGAAAATAAGGAGAGAAATTTCGTCTATCTTGCTAAGGGTCCAGGAAGTCCTGAATTTGATTCCCACGAGTGTTGTTAAGTTTAAGCTGCTTAACGAATACGTCAAACAGCAACGCAGCTAGATTAAGTACTAAGTAGTATATTAAATTCGATGGCTTCAGATTCACGCGTTCAATAATAGGTTTGTAGTGGAAGGAAGGTGCAGCTCTCAGACCACAAGAAATGTTCGTTGACAAGTGTAACCACTGACTGGCCTGCAGGACAGTGGCCTTATGTTGAGATATATTGTTAGCGGTCGCAATAACTTACTCATCGCAGAGATGTCATGTCGGAAGCATTCTGCCATTACACTATAGCTACGGTTTGGATAATTTCGCTTACATTATGCGGGCGCGCTTATGTGCCGTACTGATTACATATGCGACCTTTACCAGACCGTAAATCTTCAGGTAGGTTATGTGTTATAATAATATAGCCTTTATATTCCAAAACTCTATGATCTGTGATCTTAAGTATATTTTCACTCCAGCCTTGCGATTCTGTAACTCACTTTTCGAACTCTGTCTGCGGTTTTCGCAGCAGCGGACGCGCTCAAATCAGTCGTAAAATGACTGCTACACGGCTGATTTGAGCGCGTCCGCCGCTGTGAAAACCGCTGTGTTTGTTCGAAAAGTGAGTTACAGCATCGCAAGGCAGTATATCTCGGCGTTCGGTGTGCCTCTTGGCAAAGGCCTCCTCTAACTCTTTCCACTGTTCCCTAGCCTTTGTAACTCTTCTCCAGTTGTAGCCTGCTGTTAGTTTCAGTTCGTCCTCCCATCTTTTGCGTTGTCAGCTTTTCTACGTTTTCCGTCTCTAGGATACCATTCCATCAATATATACATATTAAAAATCATCAGCGATACTGAACACAATTTTGACGCCACAAAATATATAAAATCGATAAAAACACTGTTATTATTGTTATGATTAATTCTTCAGTAATAGTAATTCTATCTAGTTTTCCTGTTAAGCAAAAGCCTTATGATCAAAAAGGTTGGAAGCTTCAAAAGATAGATCATTATGTGATGTATTTTGCGTATTTCTTTTATTGTAAGTAATGTCGTTTGCGTAACATGATATTAAATTTTCCTTTAATAATATACATTTGTTTGGCAAAATCTCGGGTACGTTTGACTATATATATGATAGGACAATTGTTAAGGTCTTTCTATTCCTGAAGGAAAATATTGTACAAATAATTATTTAGCACATTGAATCATAATATTGATTAAAAAAACGTTAAATTTAAAATTAGTTTTAAGTTCGAAGTGTTGACAAGCGATTCTTGTTCGTATTCAGGCGCTGTTGAAGTTAGTATTCATAATCCGAGAGTATTAAAAGTTTCAAGCTTGTTAAAGTCCGTTCTGTAAAGTTGGGTAGGAACAAGTTTAATGTTTTTGTAGCTGGGCATGTTGTCGATGGACGAAGCTATTATATAGGAGTTATAACTACATTGTTGCAGGTAGTTGTAACCACAATGAGATTAGTCGACATACCATCTAATTATTAAGAAAGTAATTAGGTATTTAGTGACTTTAATCCAATGCGATTACTGTATACCTCTTTCTCTTAACTTCGCTTTCTTGTTGCAGACATTCCGTCCTTATTTATATGCAGCACAGGTGCCCGTTTCGATCTTGCCTAGATAATTGTATTATACACTTCTGACATTCCTTAGATGAAAATTGACTGCAACGTTTAATAAACTAGGTCGATTGTTCGCGTACACAGAGCCTCATAAACGGTGCTTTAATATTCAGAAAAGGCAAGTATCAACGACCCGCCTATAGCAGCCGGTTTGTGTTTCGTGAACACTATGATAGGCTTATAATTAAGTTATAAATATATATATTTCTCGAACCTTCAAAATTCCGAGGGAATAAGTGGAATCGTAAGTTTGCTACAAATTATTTTCTCATTACAATAGTAATATATGATCTTTTTATCTCAATCTTTTAGAACAAAGGAATATCATGTATAATAAATACAAATGTTACGCTTTTTTTAATAATAGTTATATTGGATATAACAAAGTTTAATAGTTTGTTTGGTTGAATTCGCTGATCTTAGTACACCATTTCCTTTAAATTTATCTGTTGTAAAATACTATGAGTGCATTTGTCATTCACGGGATTTTTTTATACGATACAAATACGAACCGACGGGTCGGCCATAAAAGGCAGCTATTGTAGTCAGATGATTATTTTGTAAACGCTGGGTGAATTTCCAGAAGGGAGGATTACGCTCTTTATCAAACAGACTCCTGACAGTGAGATTAAAAGATATATAGATAGATATATACATTCACGGGTTTCGTAGAATGTTAAGAACGAATACAAAAGTCCAAATAAATTATGTATAGTCAAAATATGAGTTGCTACAATAATTCGTTGCTTCACTTGACGGGTCAGATTCGCCCCTGGCATTTTCACCTTAACAAAAACGACCCGTATGCCTCAGGCATTCTTACAATCCAAGAAAACAAAGGGAAACGTGCAAACATCCAAAGTTTCATTAAATTAGGATGGAAATTAAAGTTAATACCAGCAATGAATTAATGGTTTACTCATAAATGTTTTTTTTTTACTTAGTGAAGTCGCTTTACTGGCCTCACTCTGTTTAGCAACCTCCAGCAGGGTTACATATAACCGATGTCAAATGATTGACTCAATCATTATGCTAATACCACTAATGATGGCACCTGAAGACAAATACATAATGGCAACGCTGTTGAAGTTACAGGGTAAGCGTTCTTATTTAATTAAATGTTTTATGGTCTGACTGATAGATTTATTATTCAACTATATCGATTAGAAGTTTGGTGTAACAGTTACCTACGAAAAAGTCTATATAAATCCTGAATCCAGAAGTAAATTAATGTCATATTTGATTACTTTGTAATAATTTTGATTAAGATTGGTCAGCGTATCTTTAGTCCACTCGAGGCATCTTTTCTATTATTTTTTTATGTAATAGGAGGCAAACGGGCAGGAGGCTCACCTGATGTTAAGTGATACCGCCGCCCATGGACACTCACAATGCCAGAAGGCTCGCAGGTGCGTTGCCGGCCTTTCAAGAATTGGTACGCTCTTTTCTTGAAGGACCCTAAGTCGTTTTACCAATCCCAATCTCCAGGGCCTAACAAGAATAAGACGTAATTCTAAACGGTGCTATTAAGACTCGCCGCCGGTGTTAATAATTTCGACGCATCCCAGAAATCCCCGATTTCAGTTAAGTAAAGTTAATTTGTTCTTAAATTACATTTCAAGCAATGTTCAAACGAACTAGTTGAATATTAAAATGAGATCTGAAATGTTTAATTTCCATTTCCTAACGAAGATGCCGATAAGAATGTATATTTGAATAGTGAATGACTTTTCTCAATAAATTGAATATTAATTATTTCGCAAACTAGACTTTTGTTGCTTGGATTTCTGTTTAGACGAAATATCCATAAAGGGCTGATTGAAAGATGTTCGTGAATAAAGTATACTAAATGTCTACGTATATATAAATTTTACTATTAAATGTGTGTTAAGTCCCGCAACAATAAGTGATGGGTCTACTTACGTCGTTTATAATTTTTCAAAGCAGGTGTTAGTGATACGTCAAAGTTTCGCTAGGAATTGAACCCTAATTCCCTAAACCCTGTCAAAAAGAATTGGAAATGAATTTTATAGTTCGCAATTATTTTATTTCCAAATCTGAACCAAAACAATACGCAAAAGTCAATTATGTTGACTGCTTTGATTGACTATGGCGGTGTTGTTCACTTGATAGTCTAGGAAGTTGACATATAAAGAATATTATTTGGTAAGAATTTTTAGATTAGCGTCACGATAATCCACCTTAACACAAGACTATTTTAAGCAAATTTTTGCGCACAAACCTATCAAAATAGCAACCAACAAAAGATATATGTCCATTCTACTATTCACTTCTATCTTTTTCTTCAACTCAAATTCACCAGTTTATTCGCTAGAAGACATGAAAAAGAACTCGCTGAAACCTGAACCTAAACTCCGGAAAAAGTATTCAAAAAATGTTTGGTGCTTGGATTGAATATTGTTCCCTGATACTTTTATGATAGAATAGTATGCAACAAGGTTACTTCGTATATCTTTACTACTGTCAAATTATACTTACGTAAAAAAGCAGTGTAAACTCTTAATAATACCGCTCTATCTTACATATTTTGTAAGTAACAAGTAATTACAGACGGTCAATTCATTCCATAATAGACATCTTTTCGAAAGTAATAATGTAAATTAAGCTGCAATAATAAAAAATTTACTCATATCTGTTACTATTCCCAGATGCTAGGAAAAAAGTATTCGTAAAATTCTTTTTTAAAATATCAGTACTGAAAAAATCAATCCGGCATTTTTTATTTGGTGTGAGCGTCATGATAGATTTTCTTTAGGTAAGACCACAAAAATCTAATATGTAAAAGCTAATGCTTGCCCATGTTAGCTCGATTATTAATTTACTTAACTTCACAGAGTTTAACGTTATTGAATTACGTGATCGATTGAACAGCAAAATGGATACGATGTGGCTTCATCGTAGAATTAATTATATCAGGAAATGACCATTACGTTGGCTTTTACATTCAACCCTGATTGAATTATAGTGTAAATTATTGGACAACCACGAAATGGAATTAATAAATTCTAAGATCGGGCTACGATAGAAATACTATTATGTATAAAGTTAAGGCATATTAAACATGTTCCGTCCGTGTGTATTTTAACTAATACGTTGTTTAAAATAACGTAACAATGTGGTATGGGTAATTTTTTAAGCATCCTCTGCTATTGTTTCGCTGGAAATTGAACCCAGAACCCAAGAGCAAACTCAACGGAAGGTTGGTTGGAAAGTCTCTTAAGACTTTATATTTAGAGTAAATATCATGTATTTACACTATTAAAGTGTATCTGAATTGTCCAGCATCTTCTTAATATAATGAAAAAAAAGATTTATGTAACCTCAATTATTTCATCATTGTTATTAAAAATGCTACGTCAAATACAACCTCAGAAAAAGCAGCTAGAAAGCTTAAATAACAAAAAATGTTAGTTCGTCTAACTTCCTGATAATACTGTTATAATTTTGCCAGCTTTAATCACCGAACTTATATGCCTCAGTTACATGAAATTTCCTCTATTATTCTTCTATTATGAGACCAAATAAAATTTAAATCTGTGTTTTTTGTATTCTCGCTTTAATGATGTTTAGCTGTAGATTAACAATATATATCTGAAGAATTATGCAACTACGCTACGAAATTTACCGCTCCATAAGTTAACACCTAAATTGAGGAATTTTAGTATAGTAGTACTCGTAACTTTACTAAATGGCTTAAGTACCACACATAATTACAGATAAATTGAGTTTGTTTTTCTTTATAATTTTCCGTACGAAAACAAGCTAATTTATAAATTAATAACCTTTTATTTATTGGCTTTGTAAAGGCTAAACGAACTCTTTGAGTTTAGCCGAGTCCTATCGCAAATGGGAAATTCAGGCAATTTATCGCCTTTGAACTCGCGTTCGTTACACAAAAGCGACATTTATTCCACATTTTCCACAGCCACCCGGCACTAATATAATTGTCGGGAATCGAGTTAGCCATGCATGGCGCAAAAATCGTCCCAACCATAAAACCAGTAAGTGGAATTACCAGATGTATTGGACTTGACGATTAAATTTTAAATTCTTCAGAAATTACCAACAAATGTTTCTGCTGTCTCTTAAAAATGAATATTAAAAACTTACAGTGGTTGGACTTTTCCTGCTGCGGCTGGATGAGAAGTGCTCAATGACTTCCCAGTTTGACTTCTTCGGAGTTTGTTGGTCACCTGGTGAGGAGGCAGCCCTCGGAACACGAGCTGGGGTTGCTCTTCCCGAATCGTCTACCCGTATGGAGGTTCCCGCTCGGAGAGAGGCGCATCGACGGCCTCTCAAAGCATCCTAAAAATATACAACCTTTTTTAGTATAAAACTAATTTACCATTTAATTAATAAAAACTAAAGTCCATGTGCCTAATCCTGGTATTAGTAAATACCATGTATTATTCTGTTTTACGAATACACCTGTTTAGAAGAGATATAAAGTCAAGAAAATTAATATAACTAAACTTTATTTTATTTATCTTACCTAATAGTTATTGTACAGTATCGAAACAAAATATTATATATATAAATCACCGCTCTTATGAACAATGGCAGATAGACAAATAGGATAACAAGGTGTAGGTGGTCATCCACTCGGGCCCACAAGAGTGGCGGAGAGTTTATTGCCAGTTCTTCTCGTCCATTCTACGCCCTTGATTTGAGAACAAGCATTCAATATGTATTTTCACTTTGACTTTGAAAGAAGTTGGGAGGAATTGGGAGGAAAATGCTCAAGATGGAGAACGATGAAGCCAGTAGGAGCAGGCTTCTAATCTATAAGGGGTCTTATTATTTTTGTATAAAATTTTAAATGTATCTTTTGTAAATATGGATGAATGTTTCATGGAACCAATGAGGCTTAATTATTATTATTATATATACAAATAAAGTAGTTCTTTACGTACAAAAATGAATTGCGCATATGAACTTAAACAATAAACATCTCCCTTCTCAAAACATTGATACACTTTGAAGAATATATCAATGTTTTACCCAACAATATGAATACGAAATGTGTTATTTATTGAATATAAATTGGCAAAAACACGTCAAAGATATAAGTCCAATATGCGTTGTAATATTGTCCAATATGCGTTGATGCGTCTTTCGTCTTTTGTTTTATATCCGTACCTGCTGGAGTTCTAAGAATTCTCTCAGTCTCTACGATACAGAAAAAGTTCACGACTCACTATCGAAATCATATTCTAACTCCCTGGCAAACACTTTAGTTGCAATCGGTGCAATTAGACTGAGCTGATTATTTTTTCAAAAAGGCTTAGTTTTTAAATGTGATAAAAATAAAATCGGATAGGCTCATGAATAAGAATGAGGAAAAAATTAAATCACGAAATGCCAGACTGTCTGCGTGCTATATGAATGATATACCTTTATTGAAGAGAAAAAATTCATTATTTTTGTTATTGTTTTGTATGAGCACTGAAAATGTAAACAAGTTCACGGTCAGTATTTTAAAAGGATATTTTCATTGAACACTGTTTACAAATTATAATTATATGGTAAACCATCGAAACCTTTATGCGGGTTTTACCATTGTTTGGAATAACAAAGAATATAAATCTTGTTGACGGTAAAAAATCAAAATCTGGTTACAATTTTAAAATAAAACAACCTTGACCAGGTAACTAAATATACAGAATCAAGACCAGGTAACTAAATATCGAGAATTTGGCTACTTTTTGGGTTAGCCTAGGTAAGGATATCTCACTACGGCACTCTATTGCGGTTGAGGCAACTATACTCTTGAATGCATTGCCGGCAATTTTAGAATTATTAAAGCTTTATTTAACCTATACAACAATTGGTTAGTTTACATTCCTTAATTATAGTATTAGTTGTGTTAGTATAAGTTTTAATTTAGATATCTTTTTCTTTTTTAATGGTCAAAAACTAGACCATAGGGCCCTTTTTGGGGTAAAAGCCTCCCCCTTTCCAATTTTCTTTGTCTTGAGCAACATTCATCCAGTTTTTCCCCGCTAGTTCTATAATGTCATCTATTCATCTTTTCTTTTGTCGTCCTATACATCTCTTTCCAGTAGGTCCAATCCACTTTGTTATTTCTAGTGTCCATTTTTTATCCCGCGCTTTAGCAATATGACCTGCAAATTTCCATTTATGCCTTAGAGCATGTACAAGTGCATCTGTAAGTTTAGTTTTATTACGAATGTCATCATTTTTTGTTTTGTTTATTCTCCTCAACTTTAAGATGCTTCTTTCCATTGCATACTGGACAGGATTTTTTTGTTGTTTTCTTGCTGAAAACCCACTTTTGACTTTCGTATTTCAGACAAGGTAGAATATTTGAATCCATTATTATCTTCTTGTATTGTAGACTTTATTTTCGACTTAATAAGGTATAAAACACAGCTTTACTGATAATTAATACCACATATTGTCGTTTGCCTATAATTATTTAATATAAAAACTTTATATTATTTTATTATATTCATGCAATACTTGATTTGGGTCCTTGGCTCAGGAACGCCGTATAAAAGCATCCCTTTGTCATTTTCTACTAATGGAATGCTTTGTACAATTTTTAATTTCAATTTATCGACATATTGACGCCGATAACCTCATTTATAAATATTGAAAACATTCAAACGATTCACTCTCAAAATCACACCCGCTCATTGTAGATGTGTGTATTAATTAAAATTTAGTCAGATTCTTAAGAATTTAGAACAGTGTAAGTTTAATTTTGAAGAGTAGGATTCTCAGACTTAGGCTTATTTTTATTTGTGTTCAATTAGGGTATTTTCGTACTAACACGTAAAAAAAAGTATTTTTGTGATTGAAAACGATGTATGTGAGAATTAAAACCTCTATAGAATATTGGCTCTGCCAAGCTACCCCCTATATAGGATATAGGTTTGGACTCAGATAGCATCTGTTTTCTTCGAAATTTTCTTTTATAATATACAAACGTAGGTGATCCTTCTCAGACTGATACATGTATCGAATTTTCGGACCGAAAAAAACCATGTTATTAATTCCGAGGATAGCCGGGATTTGCCCCTCCGCTCAGTCTGACGCTCAAGCCAGCACTTTACGAAGAAGAATAGTTGTCTTGTCAAGTAATAGAGATAATGGAGAAATTCTCATACAAAATTTGATCCTATGTATATATTCCAGAAACGTCACATCACTTGTGTCATACCTTATATTACATTTAAATATCTTTGCACAAAACCTATCTAATACTGAAAAGTGTATAAACCTTGTTGTATTCAGTTTTCTAGTACAAAGACGTATAAGGCAAGCTTTCGTAGGCTGAGTCTAGATTCACAATAGAAGTATCGTTTGAGTAAGGGCTTTGAGGCGCTGTCCGGATAAGGCTGGCATTATCTATGTTACTTTTAAGTCATTACATGCATACTTCCTTTACTTATGCGATTGTTTGGAATTTTTATGTTTCCTATATCAAAGTGGTTTTGATAAGAAATCTATCAAGAGTAAGAAAATTTTAACTAATATTAGAACGTAAGACATGGAGACGTGAATGGTAGATGAATAATAATAAACTGATACTGATAATAAAAGGATATAATCAAGGAAAGAGTGTTATGGAAGCAACTCAATACAGAGACATATTCTGGAATGTAGAAGAGCCTTTGCCAAAAACGGAGCACATAAATCCCGTTCATATACACTGTGTTCAAAACTGAAATAAAAGAATGACTAGATTGTGTTCTAAAAATATAATTCTGCTACTTGTTGTAGGTCACATTAATGTCAAATGAGTTTGTTAGGAGGTCAAAATATAATTCAAACACTTTATTATTACTTAAATTCTTTAACATCCCGAAAAGAAAGTAAATGATAATCCCGATATGACTTTTTAAGTTCGCTTAACAAATATTTCGTGTTTGAAATGTACTAATTTCATACTAAATGTGTAATTGTACTACAATCATAAATCAAAATGATATTTTGGGATTACACACTTAATGACAACATAACTACTCGTATTTTATATTAAATTAGTTTATTCACGTAGTTGGAAAACTCATTACAAATTAATTAATAATTAGGACAACGGGTGGCCTTTTCCCTTAATCCTTTATTAGTTCGGTCACAGGAGATGTCTCCCATCACAAGGAAAATGCTTAAAAAATTACCTTAATGTAACTGTATTTTTAATATACATTGATTTGTCACTTTCTTTTGCGTATCATTTAAAAAGCGATACCGTAACGCAGAAGGCGGATATATGTATATGCATACATAGATATAATATGTTGTAATTAAATATATCAGCAGCCATGCATACATTTGCAAGTACTACGCAATTCAAGTAAAACAATATTTTTAGAGTCCTATGATTTAGCTGGACATACAAAAAAGGGTTTTAAACACGATTTTTTAATCAAAACCTTCATTTTAGCGTAAAACTATTTTAGCTTTCACTCATGTGTGTAGCCATAAACTATCCGGTACGTGCGAATGGCATTGTTAAACGCGTTTTGATTGAGTGTTTACCAGACTGAAATAGGTAAGTCATTAAACGTCATTAAACTTAAATTTCATTTCATATCAAGGGCCAACCTTATGGGTCTGGGCTACAGATCTTCATAGTAACTTAGAGTAGGTATCTGATAGAGATGAGTTATTCGTATAATATGTTTAAGTATTCATGTTAACAATATATATGTTGCAGATTCAACGCTATTAATAAATTGCAAAAATGGTGTGACTACCATCGTCCGACATTATTACTTAATATTTAAACACAGTCAGCGCGCTCGTCCGACGCAGGCGCCGATTAGAGAGCCACTCTACTCAAGTACGCAACGATCGATTCTACGCACTACTGACAAATTGACTTTGACAGCTTACAACCTGTAAGATGTCTATGATATTGCGTGGCGTTGCCATTCTAATAAAACCAATGACATCGTGTTCTTTTATTTCATAATCTCTAATAATAATATTGATGATAGATTTCATTAATGAGCTAAGTAAGATAATGATCACCCTTTAGTACCTGACGGCCGCTATGATTTGCCGGTATCGGTTCGAACCATTGCGCTAAAAAAAATATCTATACTTAGGATTCAAATCCAAGTACTAATGAAAAATTTCACATTTGGAATGGACAATGCTTGCCATAGTTGCATGGCCAATCAGTCAAGTCATATTTGATGGATGTGTTTTGATTGAATTTTAAATGAAACCAGCTGTTCATATATTGCTGTTACATATAGTATACAACAAATAACACATATTATGCGATCCAGCGGAACTCAAATCGTTTTAATTTCAATATGTTTATTTTGTAAAAGGCACATATTGAAAAATGTAGTTTTACAAATCTTAACCTTCAATCTTACGTACAAACAAATCGTCATGATCGTAGAACAATGTCAGATTTGAAAAAAATCCAAAATCCACTTTTTATCATATTTGGATACTACATTGACTAAATAATACAGCTACATCATAAAACAATTCCATGTTTTTTAAATTTCAAATTAATCAGTCTGTAAAGTGACGGATTTATAGAAACATGTGATTTTTCTAGAAAACTGTGTAATTGAATGTTATTATTTTTATTTGTTTCAAATCAAACCCTTTTGTTTGCTTGTATGCCAATTTTCATAATAACAGAATATGAATTAAATTAGTTATGACAAAAACTAACATGATTATATTATTTTGAAATGGCTGCCCTGTAAAGTTCACTATTTTTCAGATCCGTCACTATTCTACGACTATGACGAAATACAAATATAATATGATCAAAAGGGAAAATAAGTGTTCTAGTTAAACAGAATTATATCATAAATAGCTTTGAAAGACGGTTAACCCTTCCCTCATTTAAGAAGGCAGATATAGTACCCGTTACACGGGCCTTGCTTATAAAGATATATAATCAATAAAATTGCAGCATTAGCAGAATGAACCAAACCCATTAAACGCTTCGAAATCGACCATTTAATTACTACAGACAAACAAATAATTACAAAACTAGAACTAAAAAAAATCAGTGGCGCTACAACCTCTTTAGGTCTTGGCCTCAGGTTTCTAAATCTGTTTCAAGATCATTTTTAAATCTAATAGGCAAGTAGGTGATCGCCTCCAGTGCCTGACACACGCCGTCGACTTTTGGGTCTGAGACGTGTTGGTTTCCTCACGATGTTTTCCTTCACCGTTCGAGCAAATGTTAAATGTAAAAAGAAAGTCCATTGCTGCACAGCCGGGGATCGAACCTACGACCTCAGGTATGAGAGTCGCACGCTGAACCCACTAGGCCAACACTGCTCAAAACCAGAACTAGGAAATTTAAATCAAAAAGATTTTACGTTTAACACGGAATATATGAGATTTTCCTTTCTATGTCCATTTCCTCGGTTGGTGAAGGAAAACATAGCGAGGAAATCATTAATTTTCTGTCAATTTTATTTAACATACCCTTTATGATCCGTTAAGATTGATTGCCGATAGCAGGAACCGTACGACATTATTGTAATAAAATATTTTACATATTTTACTCAGCTGTATATATGTCGATATTAATTCTAAGATAGCACTGGATAGGTGATATAAATTTATGGATGACATACCATCAGTTACATGCAGGTCGCTTTGTCGAACATCCGTCATCTTTATTAATCTCAATCTCATCTCATCTCGGATAATCAATAATCGCTAATGCATTGTTAATTCCATAATGTATTTGAACATCTATAATTTACAGTTAAGAGGGCAACTCTGCGCTCAATAACAACATAAATCGAAAGGCCGGCAATGCACTTGCGAGCCTTCTGGCGATGTGAGTATCCTATATGCGGCGGTATCACGTATGTTAAACATAAACAAAAAAAAATATAATAAGAAGCCCCTACGGTTATATAAGAAGTTGCATATATTTTGTATATATATATGATTTAAGTTATACTTAAAAGCTTATGTGAATGGCAGACAATACATACTATGTATCCCTAAAATGTTTACATTTGTTATTTATATGATATATACTACTGCTGGATCGACAGAGTGAGGACCTGATGCAGCTAAAATCCAGCAGGTGAGAGGTGGCACAGGACAGGGAGCACTGGAAGTTACTCATTATGGAGACTAAGACACTTTTTGGGTCGCAGAGCCACAGGTAAGAGAGCAACTAAAAAAATACTCGGAAGAAAAAGAAATTAACAACGATATCCCAAAGTCAATTTATACTAACAGGACCTTCAGTTATGAAGAAAGAGTAAAGAAGATAGTAACTTACCATGCTGTGACCGCTACGGCTGCGGAGGCTGAGCCGGGTCTTCCAGTCACGTCTGGACGCATGGCCCTCCGTACTGAACGATCTCTTCAAAGGCAGCGACATCTTGGCACGAATTAAGATATCACTAACATAATGCGTCTATATCGCGGAAAGTTGTGCACGGCACTGAGTTTTATTACATCTTACACTTAATTCAATCACTAATTAGATATCACGAATTAGATAGACTGAAGAAAATCTGAAACAAAAAGTTTTATTAGTTTTTGCAACATTTTTAATTATTTCAGTATGAAAGTGTCTAATGTGTTAATTTAAAAAAAAAATTTACATACAAAATGTATAATTAAATCGAACACCTATTGCACTCATAAAAAACTGAGTAGCTTCGGAAAAATGTCTTTAATTGATACAACAAAATAAATGCAGGGGTCAGCTCTCTATATTTACTGGATATATTTTTCTAGTTATTTTAAAAGTCAACTCTGTACGGTTGAAGTAAATATTATTTCTAATTCCTACTCAGGGTTCCGGCTACCTGTGTATAAGTATATTTGTCTATACAATTCTATTTGCTTTTGTCGAGTACAGTATTTCCTTGTTGAAAATGCCAAAATCATACTACATAGTAATCCATGGTAAGTAATCCGATGAAGCTTATGTTTCTATGTGTACACAATTGCATATAAATCCCTTTGAAAGCACTAGTAATGTGTATCAGTGTACTTTTCATACTTTGTAGGATTTATAGTTAACTAGCAGACCGGCCAAGCGTTGCTGTGGCTAGGCAAGGTTTTTGTTATATTACATAGTAGTAAACTTTTCAAGGGAAACGGTAGGAGAACACCAGTCATGGGGACCACCATGCTTTATTGGTGGTTATACCAATTGTAGCTTATGTGAAACGTTGGTACTTTCAACACAGCGCCATCTGTCAGAATTGTGACTATTAAATAATAAACAAATATTTTGCAATTAAATAATATTGCGGGTATAAATTGAGATGTAAGCTATTTGCTGTAAGTAGACATATTGCAATTGTTCACCAGAGCCAAAAAACTTAATTAATTTCGGAAAAAAATTAATAGTGTCGAACCTATCCATGATATTGTTACCATTTTTGAAACATATATTTATTTAACTGCCAGTCACCATTTGCAATGTAAACTTTTTATCCAAAGTTACTATAAGTACGTGTTTGGCTAGTTACAGCATACAGTTTTTTAAATCACAAACCTTTAAAACGCTGTAACTAAGGAAGAAAAATGTACGCGCGGAAATATTATCAATTTACAGGCGGTAAATATGCTGTATGCAGTAAATTTATGTATTTGGGTACTTTCAATTGCAATTCAAGATGTAAGATGAGTTTATAATTATGATTAGATCTAGAAATGCAGTGGGTCATTTGGTAATGTAATGTTTGGTTGTAATAACATGTTGTAAATGGTAAAAAAAAACTAAAACTGTAGGTTCCCTAAGCTTGCTGTAAGTAAACGAATGTAAAAATCACACGCCGCAGAAATGCTGTAAGTAGCGTTAAGTTTTTAAATGGGAAGAAGTAAGTATTTGTAAAGTAAAAAATGCAGATTTTCTTTTGCTGTAAGTACAAATTGTCTAAAATGACTGGATTTTGGTCTACATACAGCATTTAATCTTACTAAAAAAAATATAAGTACGGGCGTTTTCAACCGCGTATGTAATTTTTTTTCATCGTAGAGACACAGGACCCGGGACATTCGATGCGGTTTTTTTTTCTGATTCTAATGGCAGTAAAAAGTCACTTTAGGTATTTTGTCTACTTACAGCAAATATGCTTTCCTACGTCGAAATTGAGATGTAAGCTATCCTATCACACGGTGAGCAAATTTGATTGATATCGGTTCGGTAGTTTAGGAGTCCATAGCGGACAAACAACGTGACACGTAATTTATATACGTATATATTAAGATTTAGGATAGATATAAAATGCAGCCACGTTGTATATTAAGCATTCCCTTTTGACATAACAATAATAAAATAAATTATGTTAAGTTCAAAAGTGTTTACCTAAGACATTTTTCACTAGATTTTGAATTATGGTAAGAATTATTATGAGCAAAGAAATGTTTAGGCCTCTTTTTGCGATTAATATTATATTCATAAATTTAGCATGGTGTATAATAATCAAGAAGAATCTTTTGTTAGGTCTAGTAACCAGTTCGTTAACCAGAATAAGAGGCACACCCCATGCCCAATCAAATATTAAATAAAAGTATATACATTCACACTGTTTTGCAACGAAGTGGGTGATAAGTAAACAAAGAACTGGTAGGAGCAGTGTGCATGAATGATCGCTTGTGCGTCCCTTTGATGGATTGCACTAATTACTATATGTTAAGCGAGCTTCTCAATTAATAAACAGGAAACTACTTTCCCTGTCTGAATAATCTATCTAACTTAAAAATAATCTAACTTTTATAAAGCCTTTTTGGAGTTTACTCCTTAAGAAACGATTTGAGTTATATGGCCCGGTACGGAAATTTTATGAGGAGTAAAATCAAGTGTAACACGAAAAGTTGAGGCGTTATGTGTAACACGAAAAGTTGAGGCGTTATGTAGAAAGAGACAAATGGATCGAACGTGTAAAAAAATGAGATGGAATACATTACACAGACTTTTCTATTTTGAATTCACGTTTTGACAGCCACGTTACAACATTGTCAGTGTTGACAGGTGTAAAAAATAAAAGTAGATTGTCTAGCGTGCCATAGAGTTTTGTCAATAGTAATGGTCAGTGAAATTAAAACTAAAAAAGGTTGTTCATTCTTATTCTTCTCTTACTATAAAGGTAACTTTGGTCACAGAAAGAAAATCCTATTTGGGCATAGATGATGTAGGTACGTTTTATATTATAAAAACATATATTCTTACCACCTTTAGTATGAAAATATGGTCGACAGCCACAGAACATTATCGCCATTTTATCGTTCGTAACTACACACTTTTTTTTTCACTTTATTTCTCACGTAAATCAACGGTGGAGTCGGTCGGAAAACAATGCTTTTATAAAATTGAATGAAAATAACTCAAGATGATATTCGACCGATTCCGTTGACATTAGGTATTTATCTAGGTCAAGTGGAAAAATGAGACACGAAAAGCGCCAATATTTCCTCGACATACCGAATTCCAAGTGAAACATTTTTCAAAAACCCCGAAGATATTCCAGATAGAGATGCCAAGAGATGGTCACAGTGTGCGTAGCACAAAATGAAAATAGCTTTGTTACTATAAAATGTTCTTCGCATGTCGCTTTCAAAAAGTAATTTTTCAAATATTTTTTTTGGAACGAAGTTCCTTATCGCGCGTAGTGAAAGGGGGCTAGGCGGAAAAAATTCTTACGAAAAGTTGTCACGACACTTTTTTGCTATTTGCTATTGTAATACACCGGTTCTCGTCCGATCACCGAAGTTAAGCAACGTCGGGCGAGGTCAGTACTTGGATGGGTGACCGCCTGGGACCACCTCGTGATGTTGGCTTTTATTTTCGTCGTAAGATTGGTGTCGAGAAAATCTATCATACTGTTATGATACGAATTACCATATAAATTAATCGAAAAGAATTTCGTTCCATCCGGGTGTCCCTTGACACCTCTAAAGTTTTTGTATTTCCTTATTTTAGGTATGTAAAACTGAACTAGGTATTATAACCACCCATTTAATGACATCACGGCCATTAAACGTTTTCGTAGATTCTGAATTTATCGATGACGGTTTCAATGAAGCTTTCAATTTGTGAGACAAATGTTTTATATTTGGAATATAAAAAATGTGTTACCCTCTACACTAAAGCCAAGGTAATATAATACTGGTTGTAAGTGCTACGAATTATATATTTTAACTAGCTGATCCGACAATCGTCGTTTTGCCATGTATATCATTTATAATAAAAAAGGGGTTGATCGTAGAGGGGTGAAAATTAGGGGTTGTATGTATTTTTTAATGCTGTATCATAAAAAAAAAATTATCTAAAAATTTAAAAAAAAATTAGGGTGGACCCTTAACATTTAGGGGGATGAAAAATAGATGTTGTCCGATTCTCAGACATACCCAATATGCACACAAAATTTCATTAGAATCGGTCAAGCCGTTTCGGAGGAGTTTAACTACAAACACCGCGACACGAGAATTTTATATATTAGATATAATATGCTGTCTGTACTTTGTACAGCACAATGTCTTTATAAAGTGCTATATTCTCGACAGCACTTCCAGTGTAAGTAAAATCTACATACAATCGCAAAATGTTCTTTTGAAGTTTCACCTTAAAATGCCTTTTATGATCATAGGTTGAACTTAAACGTTATATCAGACATGGCTAAAACATGGCAAAACTTAATCTTTTTAACTCTGTCTCGAGATGTGATTAATTACGTAATTAACGAGACTGTCCTAATTGACGTTTCAAAGATAAGAAATTATCGAAACTTTGAATGAAAGTATCTCATTGGAGTAAGAAATTATCTTATGAAACTTCGCTAAGTTATTTACAAAGATGATTTTTATATATATAGATAAGGAGTAATTATGGCGGAGTGTCGTTAAATGTTTCATACAGTTTAAAGTACGTTCGAAACATCCAAAAGCTGCTTACAATTCAACACATATATACATATATATTATATACATTTGTCTTTTGACCGATTTTTATGTGTCAAAGGATTCGTTTTTGTAGGCCCTCTTCTACGAATCAGCCAATAGGATCTTCACATTCCTTTTATATTACAAACACTTTGTACATTTAATTATCCAAGCAATACAAATACAATGTTTGGATTTGGATATATTTTCTAAAGAAATTTTTATTAATATATTTTATTACATAAAGAATTTTAGGACGATTGGATTCTATACAATCCGGGGTTCAGGTACCACAGCTCACTCAAAAAGTAATTCTTAGGCGAAAAGGTTACTACCTATTAATGTATTAAACATGATTCATATTGCTTGCGTGTTGTGTCGCTAAACTGATGTGTTGGCTGAATTCCGAAGGTTTATGCTAGCATGTCAAATGTAAACGCGCCTATAATTCTTCAGCATCTTTTTCATTTTTATGGACCCAAT